CTCCCACTTATTCTATTCTTCTAATGTCTATGCAGTGATTCTTATCAAAAGTATGTACATCAATGCCAGATTTACAGTTTATTTCTAGGATATATCGGAAATAAGTGATAATAATAGCCATCTTATCCGATAGTCAAGCAGCACTAAAAGCGATCAACTCAGTAACCAACAATTCGAAGTTGGTCAAAGTAATATAATATCAATAATTATCACACGCTGTGTTATATTATCACAGCACCAGATTTAGACGTTGATCCTTGTCAAAAAATGAAATTAAAATAATTAATTAATTTAATATTAAATAAAATAAGACTGTGTTTAAGAATTACGATACAACAACGAAGGGTTTTTCTTTTGAGAAATTGGATTGGTTTGCAATAATTACAATGAGTACAATTGTTTAATGAATTTTAGCAAAATAAAAACACTAAATCACCACAATACACCAAAACACTTGTACTTTTACACTGGACGCGCGTTTCGCTAACCATGTTAGCATCATCAGCAGATGATTATAAACTGAGTCATAATCATCTGCTGATGATGTTAACATGGTTAGCGAAACGCGCGTCCAGTGTAAAAGTAAAAGTGTTTTGGTGTATTGTGGTGATTTAGTGTTTTTATTTTGCTGTGTAACACCAAAGGTTCCAACCCTCAACTGTAATGAATTTTAACAATACAATTGTTTTATTTTTTCCGAGTGGTATGGCTTCCTGGTGTGACTTTTGTCTTTCTGGGCCTGAGGATGGGAATTAAATGAATCCCCAAACATGTCGCCCCAATTTTAAATCAAATTAAATTTTGAAATAAACATCCTAAAAGGTTGTAAGTTTTTTGAGTCCCTTTAAATGGAAGTAGATTGGATATGGCGTTTGTCGTCTCAGACTGAATATCTGTTGGTAATTTACTTATTTCGTTTTGAGCCATTTATGGCTCCAATTCAATCAGCAATCGACACGAAAGAGAATTAAAAAATATTAACTCAAAACTGACAACTAAAGAGACAGCTTTATTTATTTGTCAAATTACATAGAAACCAACGCCACACCAGCACAATATTTTTTCTACTCCTAATAAATTCCTTGAAATAATAATTTCTGAATATTTTTTAGAACGTAACTCGCTGTGGAAAAAAATATTGTTTTATACACGACGATAAAATTGCATTATCGTCTCCCGAAATTAATTTGAATTAATCTTAACGATAAAATACCATTTTATCGTCTTGTATAAAAAATAACTATTATAATAACCAGTGTGGAATGATTGAACAATTTTGTCTTCAGGAACTTCAAAGAAGTTGTTTCTAAAATGAGTTAAAAGTAATATTTCTAGAAAAAAACAATGTGTGCATTATGTGCGCATATTTGATGTAAAATTTCTTACTGCCAGTTATTGAGTCTTCCAGGTTATTGAGTTTTACTTTAAGTTGGTAAAAGCAGTCTTTGTTGGGAGAATTTTTTCCTAACGTTATACATCCCTAAAAAAAGAACACTTTGGGCTGCCACTGTAATTATATGCATGCTTAACTTAATTGAATACTAATTTTACCTGTTTTTTGCTCTCGATTTGATCAAAATAAAGATGTAAAATTGCAATATCTACGGCGTTAAAGCGAATAAGGATTTATTCGCTTTTTTTAGACCGCTGCTGTCTCTTTTTGAGAAAAAGCAGTTCCCTCCAAATCGGGACCGGTACTATAATCATTAGACGTTTAAGTCCATGACTAAATTAGTGCCAATTAATGTTATAGAGCGAGTTGATGTGAGTCTTGCCAGTTATACAGGGTTCGGCAATAGTGCCTCGGGCATCTGTAGCTCCTGGAATAAAAAACTTGGGAATTTGTTTAAATGCAAAGCTAAATTGCCTCGATGTTGATGTGCTTGTTTGGTACATCCCCAGAGTTGAATACCATAAGTCCATATTGGCTTCAGAACTTGTTGGTAAAGTAAAAGCTTATTACATCGGGTGTTGCATCGTCGAGCGGGACATAGGAAATCCCATGTAAATTTTAATGGGGTCAATTATTGGCTTCCCTAATTATTTTAGAGAATAATTCTATTTAGGTTTATTGAAGAGCACTAAAAGCCACATTCAAAAGAATAACTTTAGATATTTTTGATTAGCCCGTTTACGAGTTATCGCCGATTTCTTTTTAAATATTTCTCCTTTCTTATGGCCCTGTATTTACTTATGAGCACCAGTCAAGGTAAAAGATAACTGTCAAATGAAGTTGTCATTTCAGAAATTTATCTATTAAGTGCTTTATTATTATTATTAAAAACTCATACCTACATCGAAAATATTAGCCATGAATTACACTACCGAAGAAAAAGTATTGATGATTAAATGGTATTATCAAGGAAATAGTTATCAAAAGGTGTCGGACATGTTTGCTGCTCTATATCCGAATAGACCGATACCTGAAAAATCTACAATCGCAAGGAATATCCAGAGATTTGAGACCAAAGATACCCTAATAAATAACTGCAGATGTGAAGCAAGGCAGGAACAAAGAGAAGATACAATAAATGATACCGCCTTGGAAGTTTTATTGTGCGTGGAAGAGAACGATGGAAAGATCAACACAAGGAAACTTGAGGATGAAATAGGAATAGATCACACTACAGCGTTTCGAATTTTGAAACGACATAAATACTATTCCTTCAAATATGAAAAGCACCAAGAGCTACGAGATGAAATACGGCAGCGGGCGTTTTGTTTTGATATGATGGAAAGAGCAAACACGGATAGGGAATTTTTAAGAAACATATGTTTTACTGACGAATGCACGTTTACCTTAAATAATGAACCCAATGTTCAAAATTATCGATATTGGAACAAAGAAAACCGGGTGTATAGTTTTAAACCTGTGTGTAGTTTTCTAACTACTCACTTTGACAGTTTCATGACTACTATATACCAAATAAATAGCTGAAAATTAATCTAAGGAAAACCAGCAATGTCTGGCAACGTTTCTAGCGTTCCAAGACCAGTTTTTGTGCCTCGGCGTAGCGGCGTATGGTGGCGTGTGTGCCTGTATAGTGCCGTCGAGATAAATTTCATTATAATTTTAAATCTAGGCATGTGCCCCGGAATCCCGTGCCTGCTGCCTAAACACAGCCGCACGCTTTGAATATTATTAGTGATTTATTTTAAATAACAGCGGGAATTTTGTCAGGGGGGAGGTAGGGGGATTTTGGTTGTTAAAATGGGGGAAAGGGATGATTTATGATTATCAGTAGATGATGGAGGGTGGTTTAATAATAATTCATTATTTTTATTTTTGTTTTTCGAAATATAATCAGCTTATAGTATACCACGACCATTGACTGAAACAGTACTGGGAGAATTGTCAGATCAGGAACTTGGAAACACCCCCAGTGGATGATATAACAAAAATATTGGATACCGATGCTTGCAAAACCAAAGCAGGAACAGAGATAGGAGTATTTTAGCTGAAAACTAAATACTCGAATAGCGCAAATACTTGAATTCAAATACTTGCAATTAAACATTTTAAAATTGTATGCTGACACTACTACAAACAACAACTACTACAAAACTACTTCGATGTCCACGCTTGTTTTATCGACTTCGAGAAAGCGTTTGATAGGGTGCAACACCACAAATTATTTGAAATATTAGACAGATTATCAGATAGAATATAGAATATAGAATTATTAGACAAGCGCTAAGTGAAACAGAAGAAGGAATTAAGATCAATGGAGAAACCATCAATAATTTAAGGTACGCGGACGATACAGTTCTCAAAGCAGATTAAGAAGACCGAAATTCTAATAGTTAGTAAAAATAATGATGCGCAGTACCACCAGTTTAGACCCAATAACGAAACCTTGGAAACAGCAGATACAATCACGTATTTGGGTTGCATCCTGAACAAGGAATTAGATCACTCACGAGGGATCAGATGCCGCATAGAAAAAGCCAGAACCGTTTTTAACCGTCTTAGAAAGATCCTATGCAATATGCACCTGAATATTGCTATAAGAACACAGGTCCTAAGATGCTACGTATTCTCAACGCTCCTATATGGAGTGGAAGTTTGGGGCTTGGACCTTGACAGATGCTACATCTAAACGCTTGGAAGTCTTTGAAATGTGGTGCTATCGCCGCATGCTCAGGATTTCATACACGTGACAAACCCAACGTGATAAACAACAACGTGATCCAGAGAATGCAAAAGGAACTAGAAATTTATGCATAGTGGGAAAGTGAGAAAAATGGCATACCTTGGGCATGTGATGCGTAATGATAAATACCAACTTATCCAACTAATACTGCAGGACAAAAAAGATAGTCGAAGAAGTCAGGGACACCGATGAACATCATGGCTGAAAAATATTATACAGTGGACGGGAATGACGACCGTACATTTATTCAGTGCGGCTGTCAATAGGATTGTATGGATCAACATGATTGCCAACATCCATAGAGGATAGGCACTGAAAGAAGAAGATGTTTACACTAGTCAAGTTATTGTGTAAGAACTATAGATACCACCGAGATTGTTAATTGTGCTGTAAATATTTTATGTCATACGTTAAGTGATGCGTTGCGTACTTTGTTAGAAAATAAAAAAAAATCAAGAAACAAAAATAAGGATAAAACATCAACATGGCCACTCAAATAACCTATTTTACGAAATATGACTTGCAGTTTGCAGTTATTTTTACGTAATAGCAGCTAATTTGCAAATTTTCCTGTAGGGGGCTATCATTACTTATTTACTAACACTGCTGGACTTGTTGCTTTATGCTTTTATCCCTTTTTTTTTCCAGCACTTATGGATTCACATACAATAAGACATATTGGTACTTTTTTTTAAAACTTTTGTCGTATTTTTAGTAATTCGATCCCACTTCTGATGTTAAAAGCTAAATCTCACATCTATAAGTAAACCGCGTAAATTATGTCACTGTAATCAATAAACTATGTAAAATTTTTGTTATAATTTAACACAGTTTCTACCCTTTCAGATGCCTCGTCCTCAAACGAAGCAGTACACCTCCAACAACGCCTCAGAAGCCTCAGTACTGAGCTGGTCACCCTAAGGAACCGCCTCCACGTGCAGGGTCCTCCACCACCTCTAAAAAACGGCGCCAGCAATGGATCTGCCCCTATTGTACCACCCTTATCACAGCCTATTGTTACTCCAGAGCATCAAGGGACTAGACAACCTCATGTACCACCGAGGAATGGACAACATCCTGCACCTCCTTTGGTAAGTCTTCATCATCATTTCTAGCTATTTGTAATTATGATGTTTCCTCCCTTATACAGGGTGTTTCCAAAAAACATGTGCCATCTTTCGTGGGGAGATTCCACACGTAAAAATAAGATTCATTTTTCATATCAACATCAGCATCAGTAATTTGTTCTTGTAGTTCTTCAGGACTATGGGTAATTTGAACTCTGTCATCAGCGAATCTTAGATGGTTAAGATATTCTCCATCTATTTTCAATCCTTTGTTATTATCTATTTTTTATATTAGTCTAGTTAACTTAAGATTCTTTCTAGTGTTGCTGTAGACAGCTTTAAAAAAAACTGACTTAAAAAAAGCCATGTTTTTGTATGGCTGATGTTAAATTAATTAGAGCCAATTTTTCTTTTATCTTTACTGCAGAATACAACAAAAACATTCTCTTTTAATGAAACACATTTTAATGTTACAGGCTGTCGCGCAAAAAATCAACGCTAATCATGTACAGCCCGTACAGGGTAATACAGCCAGTCAGGACATAGGAGATCTGATCCATTTGCCTGGACCCCTCACAGAGGACGCTGTGATGAAATGTTTGCAGAGTCGATTTGCTTCAAACCAGTTTTATGTAAGTTTAGTTCAGGGCCGATACATCGTTTTACATGGTTGACCTTCAACAAATTAGAGAAAAGCTGCAATTTTGCATGGAGCTTCATTTTGTAGATCTTTAAACATCCTGAAACCCCAGCGATGAACCGTTGAGCCCGTCACCCCAAAACCATCCCTACAAGGGGTAAAAATGGCCCTTTTTTTACTTTTTTTTCAATAACTCCAAAACGACAAATTTTAGGAAAAAAAGTGACGAGTAAAAAATTAAAGAGAAGAAAATTTCCTACCACATAGGTAAAGAACCAAAATTTTTAAAATTTTAGTGGCGCAGGTGCAAATTTTTCAATTTAAGAGGATTGTTTTAATAACCCACTATTCTGTGTTTAACTCCAAATGACCGCATTTTTGAGATAAATCTCGAGACCAAAAAATTTATTAGGATACAAGTTCCTATAAAAACGATCTTTTTAATAAAGGTAAGTTTCCAGTGGCGGAGATAATTTTTTTAAATGTACGTTTTTTACATTTTAAAAACATTGAATAAGAAAAATTGCAGTTTTACCAATAATTTCCCAAGAAATAGGTATATTGAAAAATGTACACGTTTAATAACAAAATAAGAAAAACCTTAGCTCAAAAATAGGATAACTTATCTTAAGGATAGTTATTATTATTATTACCTCATTCACTTCTACATTTGTTGGGTTCATACATGTAATGCCATTGCATTGACCACATGCCATAGTGCCATGCTTTTTTACAGCCTCCCGAACAGCAATTGCAAATTTTTTTTCTAAAACCCATGTAGGAGCAATGGGCTGGTCTGAATGTATTGGATTCATCTCCCGATTTTTCAGATTCCAACCCCAATCTTGCGGTGGTAAATTGTTATTTAACCAAGCCTGTACCCTGCGATATTTTCAGATCTGTTTTCTCAATACTATAATTATATAACATATCAGTATGGTAAAAATGTCACTGTTGTTTTTGATGGCTATGAAGAGATAGAGACCAAAATTGTGGAGCAGAATTGCAGATCTGCAGGTAAAAAAATGGTACCAATTACTGTATCTTTCTCGAATTTATCTGCAGTGAAGTTACCAAAGGTCAAACAACACCAACAAAAGCAACTTCATTCGTGCACTCGGAAATGTATTGTTGGAAAATGGAATCAATGTTAAATTCGCTGATGGTGATGCTGATACTCTTATGTAACTACAGCGGTCGCAATAAGTGGCAATTTACCAGAAGGGACCGTAGCAGTAGTTAGCGAAGATACGGACATTATAGTGTTACTGATTCATTATTGCCAAAAAAGACTGTTTATGATTCGTCCGGGAAAACGTGTCAAAACCAAATAAAATAATCGACATATCAGCCTTACAACAAAAATTGTGGGATCTGAAGAATGTGATTCTTACTTACTTCTTCTTGTCCACGCTATATCTGGTTGTGACACACCTGCACTATGGCATGTGGTCAATTCAATGGCATTACATGCACGAACCCAACAAATGTGGAAGTGAATGAGGACTATCCTTAAGATAAGTTATGTTATTTTTGAGCTAAAGTTTTTCTTATTTTGTTATTAAACGTGTACATTTTTCAATATATCTATCTCATAGGAAATTATTGGTAAAACTGCAATTTTTCTTATTCAATGTTTTTAAAATGTAAAAAACGCACATTTAAAAAAATTGTCTCCGCCACTGGTAACTTACCTTTATTAAAAAGATCGTTTTTATAGGAACTTGTATCTTAATAAATTTTTTGGTCTCGAGATTTATCTCAAAAATGCTTTCATTCGAAGTTAAACACAGAATGGTGGGTTATTAAAACAATCCTCTTAACTTAAAAAATTTGCACCGGCGCCACTGAAATTCTCAAAACTTTGGTTCTTTACCTATGTGGTAGGAAATTTTCTTATCTTCGATTTTTTACTCGTCACTTTTTTTCCTAAAATTCGTAGTTTTAGAGTTATTGAAGAAAAAGTAAAAAAAGGGCCATTTTTACCCCTTGTAGGGGTGGTTTTTGGGTGACGGGCTCAACGGTTCATCGCTGGAGTTTTAGGACGTTTAAAGATCTACAAAATGAAGCTCCATGCAAAATTGCAGCTTGTCTCTAATTTGTTGAACCTCGGCCTGTATAGGCTCTGGGCTAGTTATACAGGGTCATTCATCAATAAGTGCATGTATGTTAACTGGTAGAGACCCTAGTTTGATCTCAGAAATAAAAAAAATAATATTTTTATTCCATTTTCAAAAATTAATAATTTTAAGCTACTATTTTACAATAAACTTTAGTGTTTCTTTATTTTTTCCATAGCAACTGTGAACATTGCCTTATATCAATCAAAAATAGTAGATAAAATAGTACTTTAACCGCAAGGGGAGATTAATTGATACTTTAACAGCGAGGATAGGGTAAAAACTTTATTTCTTCTCGCACATTTTTTAATTGCTTCGATTTTTGAAAATTTTTGTATTCCTTTTCATAAGTTATTCGGGATTTAAATGGAAGTAGTTTGGATATGGCGTTTGTCGCCTCAGCCTGAATATCTATTGGTAATTTACTTATTTCGTTTTGAGCCATTTTTGGCTCCAATTCAGCAATCTGCACGAAAGAGAATTAAAAAATATTGACTCAAAACTGACAACTAAAGAGACAGCTTTATTTATTTGTCAAATTACATAGAATCTAACGCCAACCCAGCACAATATTTTTTCTACTCGTAATAAATTCCTTGAAATAATAATTTCTGAATATTTTTTAAAACGAAATTCGCTATGGAAAAACATATTGTTTTCTACACGACGATAAAATTGCATTATCGTAAAATACCATTTTATCGTCTTGTATAAAAAATAACTATGAAACATCTGTTAGACATTTTAACCGACCAACTACAGTAATATTTTTCTATTTTTAGACCAACGTAGGTCCAATACTCCTTTGTTTAAACCCATACAAGGATGTGGGGAATCCCCTTACACTAAACAGTACTAGAAGTCTACCACTAAGCAGTCAGTTGAATAAAGTAGTGCAAGAAGCAGTAAGACAGCAATCAGAAACAGGGTATCCACAGGCTATCATCCTTTCAGGTATGTTGATTTTTTCAAAGGCATTATAAAAGTATATATAGGGTGAGTCTTAAGTATGTGAAAATATTTTCAGAGCTGGCAGATCTTGATAAAAGAAACATATATTTTTTCTTTACCGTTTTTTAAGTAAGTCCAAAATAACAGAGATATTTTACTTAAAAATTTTCCAAAAAATTTATTTTCCACATACATTTTAAGACTCTTTTCTGGGTTTTCTTTCTGGTAAATTTAATCTACTGCCTATGTTGCCATCTGATGAAGATTGTTATGTTTTTGAACTAAAAATAAAACAAATTTTGTTTTTTTTTGAACTAAAAAATAAACAAATTTTCAAAAAATTCCTTCAAAATCTTTTTTTCGCGAAAAAACCCTCGTAGACGTGTTTTTGTGAATTGAAATCTTGGTTATTTTAAATTGAACTGAAATTGAAAAATCAAAAGACTAATTGAAATGTTTTTCAACGATATATCATGTTCCTATACCTAAACCTGCCGTTAATAAGCCGTTAATAATAAAATTAATAATTTTATTATTATAATTTCATTTCAAGAATTTTTTTACCATGACAAATTTAGAAATTTCGTGATACACACACCGGAAAAATCTAGGGATATCATTTTATTAAAGTTAAAAATAAATGTTTTGAATAAACAACCACATATTTGTAGGCACACTAGTTATTTCTAAATTTGGGATAATTGCAGAATTGTTTGCGCATTTTTTGTCAAATGTATAAAAAGTACCTAGCATCAATTGTTCGAATTTAACCTGTACTGGCTATGTTTTTATGATAACTGGCCAGAATTCATTCAAATAACTCTGTTTAATTATGGAGCGTAGACATCTTAACAGAGGCGAAATGCTAAGGGCCATGGGTATGCTCGAAGCTGGAATGCGCCAAATCGACGCAGCTGGAGCATTAAATACAACGCAAAGTGTAATATCGCGATTAAGTGCACGCTACCGTAAAAGTGGTGATGTTGCTGAAAGGCACACAGGGCGACATCTCATTACTACCCCTCAGCAAGATCATTTTTTACAATTAAATGCTCGACGCCGACCGACTCTTACAGCACCAGAGCTTAGTTTAATACTCCAGGAAACACATAATGTAACCGTTAGTCCTGACACTGTTCACAATAGATTAAGAGAGGTCAACTTAAGATGCAGACGCCCCTGGAGAGCTCAACCCTTAACGAGAGGAAATCGAGAGGTACGATATTTGTGGGCTCAAGATCATGTTCAGTGGTCGAATGAACAATGGGCCAATGTTCTCTTCACGGATGAGTCACGCTTTGGAATTTATCTGGATTCGAGAAGGCTTAGGGTACGGAGAGAACCGGGAAATCTTATTCGGTTGGATCATGTTCAGGAAGTGCACCCTTATCAAGGTGGAACAGTTATGGTCTGGGGAGGAGTCCAGTTAGGCCGAAAAACCGATCTCGTTTTTCTTGAAAGGTTTTTAACAGGAATCACATATCGTGATTTAATTCTTGAGCCTGTCGTGTTACCATATGCCAATGATTTTGGGAGAAACTTCATTCTCATGCATGACAATGCACGGCCTCATACAGCTAGTGTGGTAAGTGAGTTTATCAATGCTCATCAATTAAACATCTTACCTTGGCCGGCACAATCTCCTGACCTCAACCCCATCGAGCACGTATGGGACGCGGTCCAAAGAAGAATTTTGAGAATGGGTATGCCTCGTGAAACTCGTAGGGATCTGGTTCGGGCCGTAAATGCAGCCTGGCAGGCTGTACCTCAAGAAGAGATAGACAACCTGATCAGGAGCATGGAGAGACGATGTAGGACTGTAATGAACAGTAGAGGAGGCCATACCCTTTATTAAGTAAAAATGGTTTTATCTTTTTTTTTAGTTCATAGTTTAGAATAAAAAAAAATGTGTGTATTTTTTTGAGTTCAATAAAAATCAAGGTAAATTTGATCAGTAAATTTCGCATTTTTATTTCCAATACGTCCTGTAAAATATTTGTTTATTTTAATTTTATTATATCAGAAATGCAAATAATAAAATTACTGACGATGGCTGGATAAAATTTTAATATCCCTAGACTTTTTCGGTGTGTGTACTTACAAAGTTTCAATATTTGTCACGGTAACGAAAAAATTACTTGAAACAAAATACATCGAAATTAAGCAATACATTTTTTGATTTACCTCTTTAGGTATCAGTGGATCAGGAAAAAGTTATGCTTCCATGCTTCTTCTGCGACAACTCTTCGCTGTTGCTGGCGGTGGACCAGAAACCGACGCATTCAAGCATCTAGCTGCAGCATTCACTGTTCTCCGTTCTTTAGGTTCAGCCAAAACTTGCACCAACTCCGAATCAAGCAGAATTGTAGCTTATTCCATACAAACCCCACTTTCTTTGTCTAAAATTATGTTTTTTTAGGGCCAATTTATTGAAGTTCAAGTAACCGATGGTGCATTGTACAGAACAAAAATCCACTGCTACTTCCTTGACCAAACAAGAGTTATTAAACCGTTACCAGGTGAAAAGAATTACCATATTTTTTACCAGATGCTCGCAGGGTTGTCTACAGAGGAAAGGGCCAAGTTGAACTTAGAAAGACATAAGCCTTCGACCTTGAAGTACCTTCAGCATGGAGATATAAGACAGGATGTTGCTGAAGATGCTTCTAGGTAATGTTATGGAGTGGTTTTACTGATTTTAAGTGATTTTATCGAATTCTATAGGTTTCAGGCATGGAAAACATGTCTGGGTGTGTTGGGAATTCCATTTTTGGATGTTGTAAGAGTTCTGGCAGCTGTTTTGTTACTGGGGAATGTCCAGTTTATTGATGGAAAAGGTAGATAGTTATAAAAATATTACTTTTGAATATTGTTAAATATCTAATGGATCAATTTAGATTAACTAAGTTTAGACTACTAATTATCTTACTAAAAATATACAGGGTGTCTCAGAAATAAGTGCAAGTAGAGGCGCTGTTTTTGAACTGTTGAAAAGCTGCTATAATTGTTCATCATTTAATTTCATTATTTCAGTTTACTAAGCTGTAAAAAGGTATTTAAAATATAGTAGACGTTGCACCATACTTAATAGCAATTTACAATAATTAAAAAATCTATAGTGAATAAAATTAATTTAAGTATTTTTTTTTGGTAGAAATTTAAAAATGTGATAAAAACTTATAACTTATAAACATACAGAATGTGGATAACGTGGCACCATTGCATTCTCTCTGAAGCACTATAAACAAATTTCCGGTAATTGAATAAGCGGCACTCAAAAGTTTTTCAATATTTTCCGGAAAACGTCAAGAAAAATATAAAATTTTCATATTTTTTTTTGCACAAAAAACCTCTGGCGTGTTTCTGGGGTTAAACTATACTACCAATTGAAATAATTGTACTTACTTCTGGGACATCCTGTATATAATTATTGTCTGAATTGTTTTAAAGGGTTAGAAGTTGATGTACGAGGTGAAACTGAACTAAATGCAGTGGCGGGACTGTTGGGAGTATCAGGGGCAGCTTTGTTCAGAGGATTGACGTCGAGAACACACAATGCAAGAGGCCAGCTTGTCAAATCCGTAAGAATTATTGCGATTTTTCTTTTCTATATGTTTTTCATTTACAAAGTAAAATAATTACACTATAACATGACATTTAAGCGTGTAATTCTGCGTAGGTCTGCGATGCTAACATGTCAAACATGACAAGGGACTGTCTGGCTAAAGCCTTGTATTGTCGTACCGTGGCTACCATAGTTCGTAGGGCCAACAGTTTGAAAAGATTGGGCTCCACTCTGGGTACACTAAGTTCTGATTCAAACGAGTCAGTCCACAATCAAGCTGAGGTAGATTTTCCATACTTTTCTTTATGATAATATATTCAAGACAGTTTTTATTTTGACAGGTGACTAGCCAACATGCTTCCACCATAGGAAATGGTAGCAATTCAGCTGGTAGCAAATCAATGACAGCATTGAACAATGCTGTTCGCCATGCCACAACCGATGGCTTCATCGGCATTCTGGATATGTTTGGTTTTGAAGATCCCAAACCAGCTCAACTGGAGCACCTTTGCATCAATCTTTGTGCCGAGACGATGCAGCATTTTTATAACACACATATCTTCAAGTCGAGCATTGAATCTTGCAGGTAAAATAAAAAAAATACAAAAAATACTTCAAAGAATTTATTTGAAAGAAATTAGTAACATTTACTACTCTGATGAAGCAAAATAGTGCAAGTTTTTATGATTTTAGGGACGAAGGTGTCAATTGCGAGGTGGAGGTTGATTATGTAGATAACGTACCTTGCATTGATCTGGTATCGTCACTCAGAACGGGTCTATTGAGCATGCTTGATGTTGAGTGCTCAATACGTGGAACTGCTGAATCTTACATATCAAAAATTAAGGTAAGCAACAGTTTTTTTATGAATACTGTCCAAAAATGTGGATATTTTAGTTTTATGCAGAGGACATGAATTTACAGTGAAAATATTTGAGAATTTTAAATTATTAACTTTTTTTTTGCTTTATCAAGGTCCAACACAAAAACAACAAAAGACTATTGGACCCAAAACCAATAGATTCAAGACTATTCGGCATCCAACATTTTGCAGGACGTGTGGTTTATGACGCTTCAGATTTCCTCGACACCAACAAAGATGTCGTTCCTGATGACCTTGTTGCAGTTTTTTACAAACAAAGCTGCAACTTCGGCTTTGCAACACACCTTTTTGGCAGTGAATTGAAAGCACTATACTCAATTGAGACAGTTCCCAGAGGAGTGAGCTTCAGGATATCCCCAACATCTCACACAGACCTTTTAAACGGAGATGAACCAGTGTCCACACTAACACAAGACTTCCATACACGTTTGGACAATCTTTTGCGTACTTTGGTACATGCCAGACCCCATTTTGTCAGGTGTATCTGCAGTAATAACCAAGAAACGACCAATAGGTTTGACAGGGGGTCTGTAGTAAGACAAATCAGGTCTTTACAGGTTTTGGAGACTGTCAATCTGATGGCTGGAGGTAAGTAATACTTCTAGGATGCAAAGTTATATGTTATAGATTTATCTTCTAGGTTATCCACATAGAATGAGGTTCAAAGCTTTCAACTCAAGATATCGACTGTTGGCACCTTTTACAGAGTTAAATAGGACTGAAGAGAAGGTTACAGATGATTGTAGAGTTATTCTACAGTATACGGTAGATCTTTTGACTAAGAGGGAGATAAATAGTTCGGTGTCTACTAGTTGGGCGCTAGGGAAGAGACATATATTTCTTAGTGAGGGTATTAGGCAGCAATTGGAGAATTTGAGGCACGAGACTAGACACAAAGCTGCAACACTGATCCAGTCTACTTGGAAAGGATGCAGGTATGTTTCAAGATTTATATTAAAAAAAGTTTGCAAATCTGCTTGTATACCTCAACTCTACCTTGTAACTTATGTCTTTTAGCTTCAATCTTATTTACAAGGAGTTCTCTAAATTTATTGTTAATATCTATGGATAATTTAAAGAAATTGAGCTCTGACTTGTCTGATTTGCCCTTTGCTTGTAAAGAATTCTGATGATCGCATATTAAAGCACAATTTTTCTTTAGGTATAGATGGTCTACTCTGCGCAGAGAAAAACCAGAACCAATATCAACCAATCCAGCACCTCCCAAGTCGGCTACAGCAAGAAATGGAGGTATACCCAGTACCAGACCGAGACCTCAGCCTATTGCTGGTACTCCACCTCCTGATATGACAGAGAAATGTGACGCAAAAATCATCCAACAAACTTGCAACTTGTTTGGGCTGGACTTGGAACGACCTCCACCAGTACCACCAAGCAGATCCTATACAGTGACAGGAAATACTAAATTAGGTATAAAAAAAAGTCTTGTAATGTTTGTGGAAAAGTCTTGGAAACATACACACAATGACATGGCCAAAATTATTGCATATAACGATATTTTTATTTTATTTTGGACCTAATATGATTCTTTTTATATTTTTGGACATATTGGCTTACTACACGACTAACTAATATAAAATTAAAAATCTAGGTGCAACTAGGCTGTTATTATAATTTTATTTCATAATGAGTGAAAATCAACAGAAAATATTGAAAACAATTTTAATTATTTCTCACAACTAATAGTCTGTATTGCCTCCTCGAGCCTCAATGCAAGCTGTGAGACGCCGACGTGGCATGCTCTCAATTAAGTTGTCCAGAAGATGTTGAGGAATGGCTTCCCATGTTCCCATGATCATTCTTTTTGGAAATATGGCGTTTTAGCACGTCCCAAGCATGCTCGATCACATTCATATCTGGAGACATCGGTGGCCACCACAGTTTTCTTATATCCTCTTCCTCACAAAATTCGCGAACCGGTAAAATGCGATGGGGAGGAGCATTATCGTCCATGTAAACAAATTCATCTCCCACTGCCCCTCGAAATGGACGCATAATAGGCTCTAAAACGTCTCTACGATATGAAGCACCTGTCATTGTGCCATCAATAAAAACAAGAGGAGTTCCAGCTCCGTGCATTATATTCCAGTATTCCAGATGCTTTCCAGACCAAAGTTCGTCGCGAGTCTGACGCTAGGCATATTCTTGTTTCATCCCTAACCGTGACGAAATTCCAATTAAATCCATTTGCTCTCATCTCCTCAGTCCATTGTAGTCGTGTAATTTTGTGCTGTAAATTAAGCTTTGGAACACGTAATCCTCTGTCATGGAGTCTTCTTGCTATGATCTTTCTTGAAACATTCACTCCTTCAAGGCGAGCTAACTCATTTTTAATAGCAGTACTAGAAAGCAGGGGATTGCGTAGTGCAATTAGGGATATTTGACGGTCGTGCACAGCAGTAGTAACTCTATTTCTACCTCTTCCAGGCTGGTCTGTTTTCTGAATTTTTTTTAATATTCGCGAAACATTATTGTTTTGGTTAACTCATACAATTTCAGCTATTGCAACTTGCCGGTAGCCCTGTTGAGACAGTGTTACTATTCTGACTCTATTAAACTGTGAAATAATGTTTCTAGGCATTTTAAGGCCAAAACAATGGTCAAATTTCTTCTGAAACCCAAAGACCACAAATCGAAATGTGCAAGAATTTGTAATAGTATTGGGTCTGAACGATAAACATTGTTTACCATATCTATTTTAACAAAAAAAAATGTTAAAACAGATTATCAAAGCTATGCATAAAAAAAATCTATTAAATTCCTTTCCGTAGATTTTTAAACGATATATGCAATAATTTTGGCCATGTGTATATTTTAAAATTAAAGATAATGTCAGTACAAGATGATATATTATGTCATTTCAAAAATAATTATTTTTTCAGGTTACCCACAAACTCGTGTGATGAAAATGACGTTCCCCGAAGACGCCTCCTCTGATAGCATAGTCTTAATGAAAGGTGACACTGTCCTGGTCATCGGTGCTTCCCCGCGCAGAGGCCACCTAGTGGTCGAACACAAAAACACAACGTTCCACGTGCCCTTCCAGTACATGGAACTAAAACAATCTGTTAATATTTAAAAATCTATTTATATATTTTTTTATTTGTTTAGATTATAGTTTAGTCTCTATTTATTAGTACCGTCCGGTCGGGAAAAAATCGACGTCATAGTGGCTGTTGAAAAAAACAATTCGGAGGTTACTGTGACGACGTTTTTTTCACGATCGTACGGTATTTATTGAGCTGTAAAAAATCAGTATTTTAAAACGCCGCGTAGTATAATAGATTTAAGTACAAAGAATATCTAGCTGGTATATCAGATATTATTTTACTGATAGAGAGTGGAGAGTATTTTTTTAAGCAAAATTGTATACGATATGATTTGTTTAACTTGCCATTTGGATTAATTGTCTGTAAAATATATTTTTAGAGTTTAAAGTTTAGATTTTAGTTTAAAGTAAAATATCTTAACCGTCCAGATATAACTTTATTGTTTTATAGGTAATAAAAAACTTTTTTTAATGTGCCAAACCTGTGTTTTTGTTTCTTGATCTATTCCAGAGTGTTCTTTTAAACAGAAATTATTATTGATCTTAATTTCTATGGCTAGTTTGACGGCTTTTTCTGAATGGTCTTCAGAAATCATTTATTTAGACTATAAACTTAAAAAAATATAGCAACATGACAGACCTTTTGACGGATAGACCTTGGGGATGGATATTTTGGACAGACATAATTTGTTAAAGCCACTTAATACTGTCTAACCGAAAAAAGGTGTCTTGTTGGCTTGGAAATGACGATCCATGACATTCCCCATATAATTTTACATATAGTGCTTTCCATAAAATCAATAAATGAAAAATATACGAAATAATATACATGTCCTATACTATATATCTTTCACACTGAAGATATTTGCACTTATTTAAGACTCACCCTATATAAAACGCTTTTATCGAAAAAATGCCCAACTAAAAATACCATAGTGATGTGCTTCAGGGATTTTGTAATATGTTTTCCTTTTTTTATTATTGTTATATTTTTTAGTTGATCCTGAATAAGTCAAATTTTAAAATTTATAGAGTAATTTTAGGCAACTAGAAATTCTTGTATATGCTCTCCATCTATCGGAGAATTGGTAAAGATAAAAATATAACAACATTGTTTTTAGTACAGGCAGTTGAAAATAGATGGCCAAAGTTATATTAATCTCAAAAATTAAAAAATTAAATTTTAATATAAGAAGTAGGTTTTAATATTTTTTTATTAAATTATAATTTATATTTAAATAAAACAATGATAAATTATATTGAATTAATGAATTTAATAATGTTTCTGTACGTGTTTAGTGTACTTATACTTTGATACAGTAAATTGGACCCAAAATAATTTAATATCAATATTGATCCTATTTAGTTTGATAAACTAATGTTCGAAAATTACATTTTCAAATTACATGGTTTGTCTAATTAATTCATTATAAACCATATATATTTATGTTGATTTTACTTAATAATAATAATTTTACTATAATATACCGGGTTCGTCTCAAAAGTAGAGACAATGTCCTGTTAAAAACTCCATGACAATCCAAAAATTATTTTTACTTAAATCAAGGAAAATATTTGATATTTCTCGGTCGTAAGTTCTGAGATTCCCAAGCTTAGTTGTGCCCCACTAAATTTAATAATAAATGAGCCCTTCTAGGACAAGCCAAACGCTTTTCTTCGGCAAATTTTAATCGCCTCAGCCCTTTAGAGACCGCGAAAAATCCGAAAAGATTGGCTAGAATCGCGAGCGGGAGATTTCCAGCGCGGAAAATTAAATTGGACTCGGGTTTTCCGCGCATTTTCCTATGGAAATCTCGGAGATATGTCGCCGGAGATTACGACAAAGCAAATCGGGCAAATTTGAGACGCTTGGCTACGTTAGAAATATTATATACATCTGGGATTGTTAATATTCCTTGGGGAATTTCAGTTTTTGGGCATATTTTTTTTGATAATTTTTAGTGACTGACATACAGATTAATCACGCGATCTTGCTCAAACCACTCAACGTAAGAAGCTCAATTTTGGCATACAGGTTGATTCTAGGGTGTAGAGGTTTGATAAGAAAGGATTTTTCGAAATTCCAGTTCCAAGAGGGTGAAACCACCCCTCAAATTACAATATTTTTTATTTAAAAACGGTCAAGTTTTCGAAAAAACGCTTAAACACGTATATTTTATTTTGTTTTTTTACATATTTTAAGATTTTTTAAAAATGTATACAGGGTGTTTCGTAAAATATGGTCATTGATTAATCACGATCCTGCTTAAAGCGCTTGACGTAAAAAGCTGATTTTTGGAAAACAGATTGACTTTAGGGTGTAGAGGTTCGATAAGAAGGGATTTTTCGAAACTCGAATTCTAAGGGGGTGAAACTATCCCTCAAATATTAAAATATTTTTTATTTAAAAACCGGTGAGTTTTTCGGAAAAACTCTTAAACACGTATATTATATTTTGTTGTTTTACATATTTTAAGATTTTTTATAAATTTATACAGGGTGTTTCATAAAATATGACCATTGAGTAATCACGATTCTGCTTAAAATGCTTGACGTTTAAAGCTGACTGTGGGGTGAAGAGGTTCGATAAAGAGGGGTTTCTCGAATCTCAAATTGCAAGAGGGTGAAAACGCCCCTCAAATATTACAATATTTGTTATTTAAAAAACGGTTAGTCTTTCGGGAAAACGCTTGGACAAGCATAATTTATTTGTTTTCTTTTACATATTTAGAATTTTTTTAAAAAATCGTACAGGGTGTTCCAAAAAGTTGGGTATTTCTTAACCACTATTCTACTTAAACTGCTTGACGTAAAAAGCTTATTTTTGGCAAACGGATTTTATGAAAGTCAAATTCCAACGAGATGAAGCTACTCAAATATTACCAAGTTATATAATAATATTGCCATATTGTTTTTTCTCATGCTGACATAAATGTGAGAAAATTTTATCCAGTTTGTATGTTAATTGAAATTCTTGCTTTGCTTTATCATCACTATTACAAATGATTAATTCGACGCGAACGAAGTCGCGGGTATACGCTAGTAATTATATAAATATATAAACTCTCTAAACTCTTTTAGAGCTCCCACAGACCCTCAGATATTTAACACAGGCGGAACGTGCAAGTCAGTTTGCGCAGTTTAACCTGTGTTACAGCCTGTTGCACACACGCAATTTTATAGTAGGTACCTATACAGTTGTATCTACTTATATACTTATCTACTTCAGCACATTTTTTCTAAGTGAAAATGACCTACCCAGATACAGTTTTGTCTTGCATTTTGTTCACTTGTGCAATAAAGAAAAAGCAGAAAAACAACGGTTAGTTAGTAAAAGCAAATAGACCAAAGATTTGTTACATAAAGGAAATAATTATGCCCGTGACAATTTGCTTACTGATTTAAAAGTCGAAAAATAGGATTGGTTAACAAACCTAAGAATGGAAGAGGAAACTTAGTTAGTTAGAACTATTGAAATTGATTTCTTTGAAAAACTACCGCGGTATGATGCGCATCATGCATGTTCCAATGGACTTTCTGCAGTTTTTGAGCGACCTCTTGTTTTACGGTTGATGAGATAAGTATCGCTTAAAGTTGCTAAGTTGAAATTGAAATTGAATTAGCTTTGAGGCTTATGCTCGTGGGTGCTCCGCACCCACAGTTTTCCTCTCGCGTGGTGTGAATATTTTATATGTAATTTTTTGGATTATATTCGACAATATTTTTTTCATATGACACAACACTGATGAAGGCTATAATGTTAGCCGAAACGTTTTTTTTTGAAACCAAATAAAAATAATGAAAAACCAAATGAAAACTTAATCAGCGTTTTTCCCGAACCTAAATCCCAAGAAAATCAAAAAATTTAGAATATTTAGAAACAAGGTTCAAGAATATCAAATTTTCGAAGATTGTAAAATTCTAGTTAATTATTTTATGTGTACAGTTATTTAGGGAATGTCATCGATGTTCATTTCCAAGCCAACTAGACGCCGATTTTTTTCGATGATACGGTATAATTCTTACGTAAAATGTAAATAACATTAGACCAATTAAAACAAAGAAATATGAATTTCTTAGTATTTTTAGTTACACCTTTATTCTCAAAACTTAATTTTGTATTATGCAAATATACCAATTTTATTGTTATTTTATTCATATTGTATTCAGCCATCACTTAAATATGTCATATTAATTTGGTATTATAAATAATCAACACTATTTATTAAAAATTACTGAACAAATATATGTTATGCTTGACATACATTATATATTATCAAACAAAAACACATTCTTCTTTTAAACTGAAAATGATAATCTTTTTCATGATCTTTAATACACATATTCTTTATTTTTCCCTAGATCATAATACCTACTTACGTGTTTGAATCTATCGAAGCTGAACCAACAACACTTGGAGTGGAGATTCCACAATATGAATAAAATAAACATAATTGTCCAGTTTTCATTAATACCATCATGGGAGAATATTATTTTTAAATTTATTAAAGATATTTTCAATAGAATTCTCTTGATTTATAACTCGTACCCACTTTTCTTGCTCTTCCGGACACTTTAGGCTGCCTAGTATAACTATCCTTTCCACCAGGAACACAACAAAGATGAGGCATAGCACCAAAAACACACTCCACTTAAGCTTTATTGATGAATTGTTAGAGTCTTAAAAAACACACACAAAAATCAGGATAAGTAAGGATTTTTTTATGCGAAACCGAGAGTGACCATATATCTGGTAGTAGTTTATGTCACTTAAACACCAAAATAATTAGTTTTTTGCACTACAATAATAAATAATACCAAAAATCAAAGAGTTAAAACCAAAAATCAACCGACAAAATATGAAACGGAATCTAACCCAATACCTAAATATGTACAGCTGATGAAGTAAACAAAAGTCCGCCCCCAGGCTGATCTTAAGAACGGCAGTGATCTAGTATTTTTCCAATCTGATAAACATATAATTACAGCCACACCACCGCACCATCCTACTGTCCTCTGTCATTTCTACTAGACTAGACTATCATTCGTACGAGATCCCGATAACAACCTCCAGCTGACAAGTAGTGTGACACCAGAAACAAAATAGGCCGCGCTTCGCGATAATACCCACTTCCGCTTTCCCGCTTTAATATATTCTTCCGCTTTCCCGCTTCATATTTTTTAACTAGTTTGAAAAGTAATAACTTTTCGTCGGTACCTGTATAAAACAAACGAGTAAAAAATATACATTTATGATGTTTTTTACGCAAAAAATGTCTCTTGGAAAAAAACGCTACGTGTAATGAAATTACCAATACTTTTTATCATTGACATAAATTAAACATTTTAACTAATAAATAGTTATTGGACCGAAATCATAAATTTGAAATGTTTTTGCGCCAAAAGCTCAACAGAAACTGTCTTATCGTCATATTTTTTCACTCTGTAGTTTTATACAGGTACGGACGAAAAGTT